ACATACAATTTTCTTTTTGAATGAAATGCATGTGAATATTGACTCAAAATTGGAAATCCAATTACTTCAAGTTAAAAATATAGTACGAAATGTTATGTCGTTCCACTAGATATACCGCACTATGCGGTACCGGAACTGCGCGACACCACGCGGCGCGACATATTTGCCTAGTTGGTCAACTTTGCCGCGCAGCCTCGCGTCGCGTAGCTCCGCTGCAGTGTAGTGTGGTATGCTCCATAAGAATACATGCAAAGAATATTTTGCCGCGCTGTGTAGTGTCGTGTCGCGTTTATAGGGCGGCTCACGAGCATGCTCGCAAAAAATCAAACAATTTTGATTTTCAGCGAGCACGCTCGTCGTTTGTAGCGTGGTTTGCGAGCATCGCATTGGAAACAAAAACAACAACAACATTTTGTGTTGATACTTGAAGTGTGCACATCGGCGGATAAATGCATCCAAGCCATGTTAGTTAAGCTTGGCAACCTTGCAAGTGTGTGCACGTACGTTTTTTGGCTCCGCGAAGTTTTCAAACTATCTGCGCGTTTACTAAGTGTACAGCAACATTAATTGTGATAATATACACATTAACTTATTGCGAAAGCAGATTTAAATAAATGTCAAAGTGAAATTGAAGCTTCAGTTTTATTTAATTATATCATTGGTTTGGCCGAACTGCATTGGGCCATAAAACGGCGAATAGACTTGTAACAAGCGGAATTAAAAGCTTGTGTACCAAAAGCAAGAACAAATACATGCTAAAGTGAATATACACATATACACATACACACTTAAATAAAATAAAATAAAATAAACTAAAATGTCGGATAATGACAAGTGTGTAACATGCAAATCGCTGATTCGTGGCGGGTCGGGTTTGCGATGTGAGGGCGTTTGTGGAAAATTATTTCACTCAGCAACAAAATGCTCTGGTTTGGATGGCTACAAGGCGACAATTATTGGAACGCATCCTATGGTTAAATTTATTTGCCCGGAGTGCATCATTTATATACAAAATGTTGATCTTCTTTTGCGGGACATCACGGAGAACGTTAAGAAAAACAATATGTACCTGAAAGAGTATAAAGACGAATTTGAGGAAGCATTGAAAGTGAATAGGAAGGAGGTGAAGCAATTAATACGTTCTATGGATGAGAAATTCAGCGAGAAACTGGCGAACATAAAATTGCACCAAGAGCTATTCGTTAGAAAGTCAGAAGTACTAACAACAACAATAGCGAAAGTGAGAGTGCTTGCTGAAGATCTGACAAAACAGACTGAAAATTTTCGGAGTGTAAATGAAAAGCTCTGCAGTGAAATTAAATCGTTAGCAAAGGATAAGAACAAGTATGCCGCTGGTTTCTCATCACATAATACTGCTGGTAACCAATCACCAAATGCTGGAGAATGCGAAAACACAACTAATATTGTGATTTTGTCTTCTGATGCTGATTGCGACGCAGGTGATGTTGCTGCTGGTGCTGTTGCTACCAATGCTAAGGGGCATAAAACTAAGGTCGGCCTGATTCCCGCGCGTTCTGAAGTTAAGAAACCCGATAAACTGCCCATTGCTGGTAATGTGCATTCGCCTCGCTCGACACCTGCTGCTGCTGCTGGGGACGTTGCGGGTGGTGCTGATGCACGAACATACCCGGCTATTGTTGGTACCAGTGGCGGTGCGCACTCTTGTGGGTCTGGTGCTGTTACACCTGCTGCTGCTTCTGGAGACGTTGCTGGTGGTGCTGATGCACGAACTTATGCTACTATGGCTGGTACCAGTGGCGGTGCCCATTCTCCTGGGATCAACTTGCCGGATAATTCTGCTACTGCCTTGGCGGCGCTGCCTAGACCTCGCAAAACATTCAGTATTGTTGGCTGCAACTCCTGTTCAGATTTAGGGGTTGCTCGAATGAAATGGCTTCATCTTTCTTCGTTCCAGTCTACTGTATTGCCTGATAATATTATCGACTATGTCGTACAGCACGTGGGCATTAATAGGAAACAGCTTGTTTGGGTGACTTCCAAAACGTATCAATACAATGTTTGGGTATTATTATACTGCGGTATTCAAACTGTTTGTATATGCAGAGGTGCGACACATTGCAACCATATGCATTGCATATTTTAAATATTCAATATAGCAATGACAAATTTTTCTGAATTTTCCATTTTTAAAACACCAATGGTAACCAATAATAAACGAAGCATCAACTTTGTTTCTGATGCGCTGATTGCTCTAGCGATGCGTTTTGGTAACTTTTCGGAGGTGTTTTGGAACAGTATACATGGTCAATATTTTGTAGTTGGCGTTATGGAACATTATACTTTGTACGTATGCAAAGCAATTAACGTTTTGGAAGTCAGCCTTTGCTACAAATTAATTAAAAAAGATGCTCCCGAAAACGCTGTCAAATGGGTGAATTTCAAATTTGGAATTTCGTCTGCACTGTTCGCTAAGCTGCTTTCCTCTGATTTGTGGCCGGCTGGCGTTAATGTTCGCCCGTTCCGTTTTTTCCCCAAGGAGGGCCGTAAGGAACACAGTTAGCACCACTACGCCACAAGCTAATTCAGATATGCTTAAGAATTGTAATAATTTAAGAATATATTTTCAAAATATCTCCGGATTAAGAACCAAATCTGATCTGGTTATGTCATTCAGCTCCCAACAGGACTTCGATATTTTCTTTATTGTTGAAACATGGCTTACTTCCGATTTTTTCGATGCGGAATTTTTCGACCCCATGCTCTTTGTTGTCTTCCGGAAAGATAGAGATGCTGCTAAGACTGGTCGCTCCAGGGGCGGAGGCGTCTTGATTGCAGTGAATCGAAAATTCCGCGCTTCATTGATCAACCTGAATAACACTGACTCACTACTGGATCAGCTTTTCGTTCGTGTTGACGGGTCATCAACTTATGGTTCTTTGTTGTATCTATCATTCTTGTAGACGTGCTGTAAAGATTGGGTACTTCGAACCCAATAAACACCAAAAAAATAGCTCTGATCCAGTACTCCATGAACTTACAGGATTTTACACGAACTTGCAGGAAGTTGCAGGAAAAATGTTCCCGTACTCTAAAATCCTCCAAAATCCTGTAAATGAGAGCGAAATTTGGAGAGTTGTGTAGAGAATGAAGTTGCAAGATTTTACCCGAACTTTTTCTTCTGGTAAAATTATGAGAAGTGTCAAGCAATCACTGGCTGACGTTTTTACAGGAAAAATGGTTTTTTCTTCCCGTACTTTTTGTTGTTACTCACTTTTTATTCTCACTTCAGAGAATAAGTTTGCTGTTTGACAGTTTTACATGATTTTTCACGAAAAGTATTGGATCAGGGCTAATATTTCTCCAACCTTGGAGAAATTCATAGTTCTCAAGTTGATATCCAACATCATTCTCCAACTCTTCTCTAACCGACGCGCAGATACGTAAAAAGTGATAGAGAAACGAATTTTTAATTATCAAGTGAAAATCGAAAGCTTTATAAAGAGGAAAATTACCAACAAAAAGTAAATAATCTTCAAAGTATCCTCAAATAATCTGGAAAGAAAATAAAGCGCGAAGTGAATTAAGTGGCAAAATTACTGTCGGACTGTATACTGAAGTGAATTATTGTAATACGATATTGATTAACTACATAATACAAAAGGAGTAATAAAATGAAAAATTAATATTTAAATTCACCTATGTATGTCGTTTCAATCAAAAAGGTATAAGGTATTTTACAATTTCAATGATATGTTTGAGACCAATTGGAGAATTACATTGGAGTTCAAGTTGAGAACTAGGAATTTCTCGACTTGAGAAACAGTCCTTTTTTCTTACAAAGAAAAATGCCCTTTTTGTTGAGAACGCTATGATCCTCCACCTGAGGTACTGTTGAGAAACAACGTTGGAGATTTGAGAATTACCTTAGTTCTCAACTTAACCTCAAGTTGAGCTCAAACCTAAATGTTTATTGGGTCGAGTCAGGGGGTGTACCCGTAAAGGTAAGATCGCACTAAGCGACGCGACACTGCAGCGGCACTACGCGACACGGCGCGACACTTTTTGGTATATCGCACTGAAACTGCAGCGGCGCGACACTTCGCTGCAAATTTTTTAATTTATTTGTGTCAAAACGTTCAAACAAGATGGATGCCAGAGATGCTGATGTAATGTTAATGCCTTTTATTTTTATTTTCCTTGGCGAATTCTTCTCAAATATTATGTTTCTTTACATACAATTTTCTTTTTGAATGAAATGCATGTGAATATTGACTCAAAATTGGAAACTCCAATTACTTCAAGTTAAAAATATAGTACGAAATGTTATGTCGTTCCACTAGATATACCGCACTATGCGGTACCGGAACTGCGCGACACCACGCGGCGCGACATATTTGCCTAGTTGGTCAACTTTGCCGCGCAGCCTCGCGTCGCGTAGCTCCGCTGCAGTGTAGTGTGGTATGCTCCATAAGAATACATGCAAAGAATATTTTGCCGCGCTGTGTAGTGTCGTGTCGCGTTTATAGGGCGGCTCACGAGCATGCTCGCAAAAAATCAAACAATTTTGATTTTCAGCGAGCACGCTCGTCGTTTGTAGCGTGGTTTGCGAGCATCGCATTGGAAACAAAAACAACAACAACATTTTGTGTTGATACTTGAAGTGTGCACATCGGCGGATAAATGCATCCAAGCCATGTTAGTTAAGCTTGGCAACCTTGCAAGTGTGTGCACGTACGTTTTTTGGCTCCGCGAAGTTTTCAAACTATCTGCGCGTTTACTAAGTGTACAGCAACATTAATTGTGATAATATACA